CGCCCACCCCCCTCCCCGGCAGGCCCCTGGCCACCCCTCCAACGGGCTTGGAGGGCAAGGTGCTCTCCGCCTGTCCGGGCTGCACTGACGGCCTTCTTCTGGCCCTTCACCAAGGCCACTGCACCTGTTTTACGCTTTTGCTCCTGCAAGATCCTACTCCGAATACCATATTGTTTCAACTTTTCTACTGCCGTTTCACAAAGCACTTCAAAACACAGCGTACACAACGACAACGTATTATGAGTTACATTTCTCTGTGTGACCAGGAATTTCTTCTGCTTTCGTGCCGACATAGCGAGTGCTGGGATGGTGGAAGTTTCCAGAATGTCCTCACTCATGGGGCTGGCAGTGGTAGGAGCACTGGCTTCAGCCCAGCACAGGCTGGGGCGGGGGCTTTGTGTGGTTCCCTGAGAGCCTCTCCGTGTGAAGCCCGGGTCCCTCACAACGTGGGGCCATCCCGTGACAGACGCTCCAGGGGTGGAGGCAGGGGCTCTAGACCCCACGCGGCCCCGCCTCCAAGTTTCACAGCATCATTCCCACCTCGTTCTGTTGATGAGAGCGGTCCAGGAGCAGCCAGGAATCAAAGGAGGTGCAGTCTGATTCTTAATGTGGAAATGACAAGTTCAGTCTGCAGAGATGCACGTGGAACGGAAGACAACACACAGCCACCTCTGGAAACACCTGGGGATGCTGGTGGGGGCAGTGAATGCATTTCGCATGTGAGAGGACATGGATTTGAGGAGACTAGAATTACATCCCTCCCAAAATGTGCGTGTTGGAGTTCTGACCTCCAGTACCTCAGAATGTAATCTTATTCAGGAATAGGGTAATGGGGTCATCTCAGGTACAATTTGTTAAGATGGGGTCATATTGGAGTGGGATGGGTCCCTACTCCCGTAGTGCTGCCCTTACAAAAAGGGGGCATTTGGACACAGACGTGCACACAGGGGGACACCCTGTGAAGAGGAAGGAAGCAATCAGAATGAAGCAGCGCAGCCCGGAAGCACCAGGGCCTCCAGCAAGCTGCCCGGAGCTGGGGCCGTGGACAGCCTGGCGCAGGCGGTCGTTCCCGGTCCTCGGAAGGAGCTGCGACCATCCAAACCATGTCATCATGTAAGCCACCCAGTCTGGGGGACGCTGTTAGGGTGGCCCTGGGAAACTCATCACAGCAGCCATGGGTTGGTTCTTTGTTGGGCACCCATCCTGGTTGATAAAACAAATTCCCTTCAGCGGGGAACGTTTTGAATGCCTCAGGGATCCAGGTTAACAGAGGTAGCAGTGCTTTCACAGAAACGCAAATACACAAATAATTTCTTTTCTAATGCCGTTTCTGCCACCTCAGCACAAAATCTCATGCAGAGTTGTAATCAGGAAGAAGGCATGTGTGTTTGTGACGTGCGTGTGCCTCACATGCGTGTGCGTATGTGTGTGCATGTTGTGGTTTACTCTCAGACCACAGAACTTAGGCATCCTCAGTGACCTTCACTGGAAAGGGCTTTTGCCCTTGGCACTACTGGCATTTTCATCTGAAGCCTGTGTACTGGGTTTGGACCAGTGCTAAATTTCAGCTGCCTCCTCTAGAAAGAGACCCTCCCGGAAAGCCAGGATTGTCCAAGCCGTTGCCATTCACAGCCAAGCCTTCAGACTCACAGGTCACTGCCAGTTCTGCAGTAGAGACCAATTTCTCAACTTGTATCCTGGTTTCCCAGGCAGCTGCTTTGCTAGTCCCCCAGCGATGCTTGACCTCACACCAGTACAGCCCACCAAAACACCAGTATGGATGCTGGAGTGTGGACGAGGAGAAGATGGAGACTGGTCTGTCCATGGAGGGTTGAAATGTGACCATCTGCTGTAACGGCACTAAAAAGAATTAGACTCATCAACTCTAGTGACTCATAATGATGGTTGTGCTTGCT